CTTTGGGTAGACCTTGAGAAGCCCATGAGGGTTCGGCGGGGGACAAGTTCCCTTTTGATGAGTGCCAGGGTGACCCTGGTGTCGGTCTCCACAGAGCGGCCTGGGGCAGCAGTTGCCCTAGCTACCTAGCTCACTGTCCACACTGCGATTCTGCCCACGTTTTAGTGCTAGATGGTTCAAAGATCCACCTGAAGGGGACTCAGGGTGTGGAGGGCCTCACTCCTCTGACTGCTCTGCAGACACAGGGAGTGGCTGGCAGCACCAGGACCCTTCAGGCCTCACTGCCCCACTCCCCTGCCCCAAACCAGGCCCTGGAAGATGAGGAGAGGAGGACTGCTAGAGCCTGGGCCCTGTCTCACCCAGACCTGGGGCCTGAGGCTGAGTCTCCTTGGGCAAGCCACGGGACCTCTGGACTCTCTGCTTCCTCCACTGAAAACGAGGCCAATCACTCCCAGGGCTGTCAGGAGGATTTAACGCAGGTTTCTGTCTCACCTCTCCCAGCATCTGGGCTGGAAGAGTCTTTGCCTCTGATAGAGCCAGTCGTGGTCACCCACGGACCTGGGACAGCCACAAATGTCTCCAGGCATTGCCAAACACCCCAAGGCACCAAACAACCCTGGCTGAGAGCCCCCTGCCTGCAGAAGTCCTAGCACAGGGCTGCGCTAAAGTCACAGCTCAAAATGCAAGTGTGCGAGTGACTGTTCCCTTCGGAACAGACCCTGGCTGCTCCCCGTGACCACTGCCCAGCCCCTCTGCTGAGACAGTACAAGCAACACCTGCCAAGCAGAGAGCTGGGCACATGGAAGGACTTCCGGGGTCAGCCGGCTGCTTGTGTGTGTGCTTTGTCTTTGCTGTAGGGTGTGTGTGCTCACTGAAGGGAGACAGAGACAGAGAGGGAAGTAAGAACTCGTGCCAGGGAGGAAAGCCACACCTCAATCCTTTCTCCTCCATTCTCTTCTTGGGGTTCTTCACGCACGCGCGCGCGCACACACACACACACACACACACACACACACGTCTGGAGTGATTTTCAAGCAGCTGGGACCTAAACTGCAGAGTCGGCTCCGTGGGACCCAGCGCCTTACCCTCCACGCCATCTACCATCTACTGGCCCTAAACTGGCTTCCCTCCGCTCCCCCCAGTAACTGCCCAAGGGGCACCTCTATGGCAACGAACCACAGCTCCGGCCCCAACCTACTTCTCACATCTTTTTTATTTTTCTTCTTAGATTTTTTTTTTCTTTTAGCCTTAGGGCACGTGTGCTCGCCAGAGAGAGAGAGACAGAGACAGAGAGGGAGAGTGAGAAATCATCCCTCAAGGTGGATGGCCATGCCACAGTCCCTTCTCCTCCATTCTCCTGGGATCTCAGGCACACACGCACACATGCCTGGTATGAGTTTTAAGCCACTGGGCCTGGGACTTAAACCGCCATCGGCCATGTGGGAGTCCAGCCGCATAACTGCTACGCCACCTGCTGGTCCCCTGGCTCTCACTTCTTTATGAGATGTGGGCTGCCAGCAGTGACCACTCAGGTGCCATCTGGGGTCAGGACAGGGCTGGGAGCAGGAGAGGGACAGAGCTTGTGCTGGTAAGGTTGGGGCTGCAAACCTACCCCCCAGTGCCCACCCAAGGCCCAGAAGCCAAGCTCTGTCAGGTCCCTTGTGAACGAACAGAAAGAACTCTCTGGAAATGCAGAGCCTGGGTTCTAGTCCTCGTTCTGTCACTGCCTACATGACCTCGAGCAAGGCCTTGGCCTCCCTGGGCCTATTTGACCGCGTGGTTGTATTTCAGACCTGCGCAGCCATGCTCGTCCCAGTGCAGAATCACTACGGAAACTTGGTTCACCTCACCCAAGTAACTCAGAATCTCTGAGGCGCCGGGGGAGGGTTAGGTCAGTTCTGATGATGAATCTCCTTCTTTAGGATTGTGAGAAAGCCTGGTCCCCAAGGTGGAAGGCCAGACAGAGATGAAAGGGTGCACGCAGCCCATGGGCTCCTGCCAGTGTAGACACGGGGTCAGCTGGGACTCAGCCACGTCTCCCCTACTCACCCAGAGCCAGACTGAAGCCACAGGAGCAGTGTCCCCAAACAAAAGCCTGGCCTCTTTGAAGGTACACATCAGAGGCCACTTCCTCTGCACCCAGGCCCTTGTCACCACCATGCAGAGCCATGGAAGGAAGAAGAACTTCTGGATGGGGGGGGTATGAGCCCTGGGAGGGCCGGGAGGGCAGGGCCAGGCTGCTCCCCGTGGTGCCCAAGACAGGGTGCCCAGGACTGGGTGACGGATGGCATGCTGAGCTGACCTGGACCCAGCGAGGGCAAGAAGGCAGCTAGGAGCTTGACCCCACCTTCTTGGGGTCACTTCCAGGGCACTGTCTGACTGGACTGTGTGAGGGGAGGAGGTGCCTGTCCCCAGCCACAGCAAGGCAGGATCTGCGTGTCCCTGGGGCCTCTGCTCCTGTGTCTGTGAAATGGCAGTGAGGACAGCGGCCCCAGCAGGAAGAGGACGGAGCCTGCTGTGCTCTGGGATGTGTAAGCTGCAGTTGGACCATATAGGGCACTCTGGTGGGAGCACAGGTGGGCAACGAGGCCACCGGGGAAAGCACAGACTTGTCACCAACTCCCGACCTCAAACCAACGTCTCCTGACTGGTTTGGAAAGGCTCAGAGTTTAAAGCAGCAAACTCCCTATTGGCAGTCCTGGAGTGCCCTCCCTCCCAGCACCTCTTCTGCCCTGCCCCGGACCCTGGGGTCTGGCACTGTTATAGTCAGGGACAGCGGGCCCTAGGTTCAGGTGCACTGTGCTCCGGGGCTAGCCATCTGAGCCGCCTGTCCCTCCCAGCCATGATGCACATCCCAGTCACTACTCCTGAGTCCCAGAGAGAGGCCACCAAAGAAGTCACAGGATAGGTCTGGTCCCTCATCCCAACCACAGACCCCACTGGGTGGGGCACTTGGCACCCACACAGTCCTGTGGCCCCGTGCTGAGCCACGACCCACCCTGGGCTCTGCCACCTCAGGTGCCCTGTGCCAGCCCCTGGTCTCTCTGGCTGGCCTTTAAGGACCCTTCTGGTGCAAACTTCTGCCCCAAACATCAAAACAGGGCAAAACTCTGTTTCAAGTACTCTTGAGAGTACTCAAGCCCAGGGTACTCGACGCTGTCAAAAGCCGAGTTATGGACTTTGGCAGAAGCTCCTCTTCCATGGGGGCCATTCCAACAACCACTGGGGGCTGTGCTGGGGTGATTCCTGCCCCGCTGCAGCAGGTGTCTACCCTGTGAGGAGGTGTCACCGTCCTGGGGGCAGGAACCTCTCCCTGCTCTGTCCGGGAGCCTGCAGACGGCACAGCAAGGACGCGGCCCCCAGGGCTCCCTGTATCCCGCCAGCCTGGCCGCAGGGCCTGTCTGAGGCCCCCTGCTGGAAGCCTGCGGGGGCAGGGGTCTCCCAGAGCTAGACACGTCCCAGACCTTGCAAATGCCAGTCCCAGGTCCTTCGGGGCCTCCATTACTGGAGATGCCATAAGCCCAACACACCCTGGACCTCCTTTCTGAGGGCCGAGAAGGTTCCAGGAAACCCGCCCGAGGGCAGGACTCACCTCATCCAGTTGGCCTTCGTCTCGTCCGACCCGTCTATGGACTTGTAGCGGTTGTTCTTGTCCACGATCTGGAAGACAGGGACCGGATCTAGAACGGGCCATTCTGGAGGGGCTCCATGTCCCTGGGCTCCTTCCCAACCCAGGGCAGGCCTGCCCCACCTGCTACCTCACTTCCCTCTCATGTCCCCTCCCCTCACCCCATGTCCCCACTGCGACGAGATGGAAACCCACACTGGGGTCAGGAATCCCTGCCGCTTCCCCCCACCCATGCCCATTCTCTGGGAGACACTGGGGGTGCACAGAGGCCCTCACAGGTGTTCTGAATCCTAGGAGATGGGAGGCAGAAGGTGGGGCCACCTTCTTCCGCCATCTCCATGGAACGCCCAGCAATGCGGCCAACAAGTGGCATTTCCAAGAGCCTCAAATTGCAACAACAAAAGTTCAACCCAGTCCTCCCCATCTCTCCACAGCTTCTGTGGGGGACAGAGGAGGACCCTGGGAGATGGCTTCTGTGATATGACAGGGTCCCCCTCCCTCCAACCTCTACATGTTCATGAGCCTCGGGGGCTGGGCCTGGGCTATTTTCTCTTCTGTAAAAATGTCTTTAATGGGACAGAAGGTGTGGTGAATAAGGCGCTGGACTTCCACATGGCTGACCATGGTTCGAGTCCTTGATCTGGTGGTTTGCTTTCTCTCTCTCTCTCTCTGGTCAAATTGAAAAATAAATAAATGAAACTAAATAAATAATTATTAGAAATAAAAAAGTCTTTATTTCCCATCCCTCTTGAGTCAGTTCAGCTGAGTATGCATTCGAGGCTGATTCAGTTTTTTTATTTTTTTTTTTAGCACTTTGAAGATTGCCAAAAAGACTACCACAGCCTCCAAAAACCTCTCCTATCGGTCCACCTTTGTTCTTTGGCAAATAGTCTGTCCACGGCAAGTTTTAAGGCTCTCCCTTTAGTCTTGACTTTCTGCAGTTTTACTATGTGGTTTTAAAGCGAACATGTTTTAATTCTCCTTATTACTTGATGAATCCTTTCAAACGGAAGATTTATATATTTGTTTCCCAATTCTGGAAAATTCTCAGCCACTATGCTTCTGAGCACAGCTTCTTAAGTCATTTTCGCCGGTCTGTTCTGGTAGAATGTCTATGAACGAGCGAAGAGAGCAGGGCCGGCTTCCCTTCGCGTCTTTTAATTACCCTTTCATATTCTCTCTCTCTCTCCTTTCTGGCAATCTCTGGGACAATCTCTCAGAACTCTTCCAAATCTCTAATTTCCTCTTCCTCTAATTTCTTTCCCATTTACTGAGGTTTTTCCTTTCTCTTTTGCTTCACTTTTAAATGAGTACCTTTAATCCAACGAATATTTTTATTCCCCAAGATTTTCTTTTTTTGGAGAGGTGTTTCTTTTGTTGTTGTTACAGGGCACGTGTGCTCGCCAGAAAGACAGAGAGACAGAAAGTGAGAAATCACCCTCTGGGGGGATGGCCACGCTGCAGTCCCTTCTCATCCATTCTCCTCTTGGGATCTTGGGCACGCATGCACGTGCACCTGGCGTGAGTTTAAGCCACCGGGTCCGGGACTCAAACTGCGGTCGACTACATGGGAGTTGTAGCCGTTACGCCATCTGTTGGTCTCTATTCCCCGAGTTTTTAATTTGGTGTTTTTAATTTTTTAGATCCATCTTGTTCTTCTCCTGCCTCTTTTGATTTCACAATGATGTGTTCCTCATTTTCCCTTTTCTAACAGTTTTGTGCAGGTATATTTGACGTATAACATACATTTGGATAAACTGCCAGAGGGCTGGGTCCAGGTCGGCTCTCTGAGGACTTAGTGAATCTGGGCCACCTCACCAGGCCCAGAATGCTAACTAACCTCCCTGCTGCCATTCCTATCTTCAAAAAGTTTTAAAACATTTGTTTATCTATTTGTTGTGATTTCCACACTGCCGGGTCTGGGACTTGAATCACAGTCGGTCATGTGGGAATCCAGCACCTCAATCACCACCTGCTGCTATTCTTAACTCTTAGTTGTCCTCACAGCAGCTGAGCAACCTCTTATAAATGCAGATCAGATCACACCACATGCCAGTCCGAGACAGCGTCTGTGGCACCTACAGTAGTCTGTCCTTGGGGACATGGGGTGCAGGCGTCACGCAGTGCTCTGTGAGGACGGAGCCACGTGGAAGGTCCCTGGCTCATGCCCCGGGGCCTCCCCGTGCACGCCACGCATCACTCACGCTGTGGTCCTGGCTGACTGAGGCAGTGGACCACAGTGTAGGGATCCTGTTGGAGAGCTTGTCTCTGCCTCACTCTCGTCATCTCTCTCATGAAACAAATAAATGCAAATACTTAGAAAAAATAGCTGTACTGTGGTCCTAGCCTTCAAGGCCCAAATGCTCTGGTCCTGGCCTACCTCTCTAACTCACCTCGGGTCCCTCGGGTCTCTTGTTCTCCCTTCACTTACTTACTTTCTTTCTTTCTCTCTCTCTCTCTTCCTTCCTTCCTTCCTTCCTTCCTTCCTTCCTTCCCTCCCTCCCTCCCTCCCTCCCTCCCTCCTTTCTTTCTTTCTTTCTTTCTTTCTTTCTTTCTTTCTAAGAGAGATTTTTGCTATAGGGTGCATTCACCCCCTGGGGGGATGGCCATGCCGCCATCCCTTCTCCATTCTCCTCTTGGGATTTTGGGCACACACACACACGCCTGGCATGAGTTTTAAGCCGCCAGGCCCGGGACTTGAAACGTGGTCGACTACATGGGAGTCCAGCAACATAACCATCATGCAATGTGCTGGTCCCCCCTTCATTTTTCTAGCCCACAGTGTTTTGAGAGTGAGCCTTAGCACTGGTCGGTTCCATTGCCTAGCGCCTCCTTTCCTCATCCTTAAAGAAATAATAATCACAAAATAGTTTGAGGCTTGAGAAATTGTAAAGAATAACGCAGCGGACAACTCTGCACCCATCGGCCAGAGCGAACAGAAATGAACGCCAGCCGTATCTGTCCCAGACCTCACTTTCTTCTCACTTCAAGAAAACACAAGGTGCAGCTAAGTCCCTCTCTGCCTCCAGCTCTTTCTCCTTCCTTTCCTCCCTCCTGAAGCTGGTAGGAAGCCTCCTGATTTCACTCCACGAGGACTTCTCTGAGAACAATGCACGGAACTGTCTGGCACTTCTGTAAAGTTTACAGCAATGGCACCCAAGTGAATGTACCCCTTTCTAGTTTCTTCTCACTGAGCTTCAGATGCTTCATCCTTTTCCTATTTTTTCTCCTCTTGAGATTTTGGACATGTACGCACCTACTTTTCAAACCTCCAGGTCCAGGACTCGAACTGCAGTTGACCACCTGGGAGTCCAGCGCCTTAATTGCCACGCCACCTGGGGGCCTACTTCACTTCTTAGCTTTAGGGTCTCAGAAGATGTCTTCTCCATGGAAGCAGCTGTTCTGAACCCGAACCTGGAGTCAGTTCTCCGCTGCTACACCCCAGCCCTCAGCCTGTCTCGGTGCCCTCATGACGTTACGTCCTTTTCCAGCTGGGATTGCAGTGAGCATGTCTGCTGTGGTAGCGTTCATTGAGTTGCACACGTGATAACTAGCTGTCTTGCTCACTAGACTGCAAGCTAGCGAAGGCACTGCACACGGCCACCCCACCACAATGGCTAACAGAGCGCAACGGAACACCCGATGGATGAATAAGCGATTACAGTGAGAGCCTTTTAAGTAAAGAGCCAGCCAAAGAAAGAAATGGTAGAATGTCAACATTTTTAGTAAAACAAAAATGAAGGTAATCCTGGAGCCAGCTTATGATGGTGAAAGCTGACGGTGAAATTTTCAGAAATTGTGTGAATGAGCCGTTACACCCAGCCATGAGTAAAAATTAAATGGTATAAACTTAATAATTCAAGAAACTGTGTAGTTTTGCAAAGTAATACATATTCAAAACCAGCCATTCCCCAGTGTTTCACTACACGTTGCTATTACCCATCTGTGCCCCGACGGTGTGAGCATCTGCAGCCCCTGAAACCCCGCATCACAGCTGCTGCTCTGCCTCTGCCCATTCCACATTCCACATGAGGTTGGTAGCGCCAGCTCCCCTGTGGTGGAAGCATTGACACCAGGGGAAGCGGCACTCGCAGCACTGGCACCCGCCCCTGGCAGGGTGGTCAACATTCACCAGTGCCACTGTGCGCATGCTCACACGAGCATAGAAAGTCTAGGAGACACACTCTCAACTCCAGTTAGAGAGGACGAGGGAGGGAGGCGGAAGTAGGGATGCTGGGGCTCTATTGATCTATTGATGAGACTAGACTGGGTGTTTTAAAAATCCCAGAAAGAAGAAAAGAGAAAACATACAACGCAAGCTTCTCCCCGGGAGTCTCCCCAGATGAGGCTCCAGTCTGCAGGGCCCCTCCCACGGAGTCTCATAGAACCCTGCATTTTATCATAACACGATTCACCCTGTATTAGCATTTCAGATTGCTTCTCTCTGTCCTGAGGCGAAGCATCTCCTGGAAGCATCGTAGGCCCCGTAGCCAGCATGGGGGCACGGCGTGGGTGGTAAGAGCCGTGGAGCTGGGGAAATAGCCAGAATCTCTGCTTTACCACTTGCAAACTGAGACGCCTTGGGCAGCTACTTCACTGGCATGCCTGAGTTGACCTATCTGTGAATGGAGTGAAAACCAACCTTGCAGCATTGCCATCATGACTGGTAAGAAGGCACCCAGGAGTGGTCACTGTTTTCAGAACTGTGCCTATTACAGCACTGAATGATGGATAGTATCAATTCTGGGTGGTGGGAGGTCTGAGGGTCAACAAGGCCGTGTGATCTGCCTTCTGCAGCACTAGCTGCACTGGTGGCAGCACTGAGGGCCACGGGAGCTGCCAAGGACCCTGCTGCTGGGCTTGGGTCCAGAGCTTTTTAGAGGGATGATCCCCTGCTTATCTCTCCCACCAGTGAGGATTTTCTCAAATCAACCATGCGTTCGCTCATTCATTCAACAAGTGCCACTGCGGGAGCAGATGCGGCGACAGGCTCTGAGGACACCATGGTGACCCAGGCAGTATCTTTGCTCTG